GAAAGAGTTTCAGCATTTAATTAGTCATATTGCGTTTTCCTAGGTGGCGAGAACGTTTTCTGACAGCCTTTAAAGAATGCTTGGTACGAGAAAATAATACCTATCACGTGAGCCAGGCAACCTACTGAGGCCCTTTACAGGGGTGTTTATATAACTCTCGAAACAACTATGAGATAATTATTATAATAATAGGTTTCACAGATTCCTTTAGTAGTCAGTTCCACTGTCTTGCCTTTATGTAGTAAGGAATCTTTCCAAAAGCTCCCTTGTATAGTCCATTTCTTGTTCTCCAGTAAAAACAAAAGAACAGCACCTACCATCTCTACTCTCTGATGGGTGGTGTGTGGTTATTACTTGCCAGTCCCTTCTTCCCAGATGTTTTTTTCTCCAAGCTTAGTAACCCAGATTCTTTTCATTCTTACTAGTGCCAGTGCCACAGCCCTTCAGCCACTTCGGTTGCTATCTAGCTTCTCCACATCGAGACCAACTTTGGAAAACGCAAACATGTCAAGAAAAGTTGACCTATACGTATTACAGTGATAGTGACTATCACATTATTTAGATCTCAGGCTACGGAGTTTTATTTATTATTCATTTTTCAGCTTTCAGCCATCAAAGGAAGACGGTCCAAGTTTTGTCTGGAAAGGCACTGAAGTTTCTTTTACAGCTTCAAGGATAAGTAGAGTCAGTCCACCCAAGAAGGGGACAAAGAACAGACAGAATGAACAGCTTTAAAGGCACAGACACTTGAAAAGGACAAATGGATACATGGAGGTATGACAGGAGTAAGTGTTTAGAGTAGAGAGCATTCAGTTTTTAAAGACATTGCCCTCTATCCTGTCTGCCATAGTGTGAGGTAGAGCCTTTAAAGGGTCTGATGAAATAATTCTGGCACATCTTGTCCACTCAGTGAGGTGACTTTTTGTGGCAAAGTACCCCCCAAGTGGCCCAAGTAGGATTTCAAAGTAGGAAAAGATTTCCTTTTTCACTACCTCCTTTTCTTTCTTGCCTGCTTATCACCCTCCTGACCATGTCCCCTCACCCATGTTCAGTACCCTTTTTCTGCCCTCTCACTGTTTAGAACTTCCATCTTTGCACTGCACCCTTTATAAAAATGTTCTCATAGTACCCCACCTTCCTCGCCCCCTCTCACTCCATGATCTCATTAGGTGTTAGAAGGAAGGAACCCATTATCTAATTAAACGAATTCACACTGGGATATGATTAATTGCTGTGCTTGACCCTTTAGTCATCTACCTAGGAGAAAAGCGAGTTGACTTAATACCGGAGTGTGGGGATAGTGGCACTTGGCTATTTCCAGGTAGGGTTTCCAGTCCCAGTAAAAGAAAAACAAGAAACAGTGGCTTGCCAACTCATTTCTGAAAGATTATTTTGATTTAACCCATATGTAGTTAATTTTTCCCACTACGTCGTACCACAGCAGTCTGATTGTTTAACACTTTTTGATGGTGATCTTCGAATGTGTTTCAAATAATAACAAATAATTTTAATATTGTAGACTAAGTAAACAGGTGATCTGGGGGGCTCTCGTTGAATCCCTGATCAATACTCTGCATGATAAAATTAAAAGCCTCAGAATGTATGGATTTCTGGGGCTTTCTCAACTCTTTTTCCTAACATTCCCCATAATAGGTCTCTATTTTAATTTTTCTGACTAGCTAGGTGATCGGTAAATATCATCCATGTGGTGTAGAGATTAGAAGTTTAATTTGCTCTTTACTCTGGTGCATAGTTAAGGTAGAGCTGACCTTGGACTTGTGAGAGTAATAGTCCAAGAGTTACTACTGCTTCCATTATGGAAAAATTTACAGGAACTGTGTTGTTGTCTATAATAGTCTCTTTAAGTACAAAATTCATTTATTGCCTAACTTCTCACACTTTGGGGTGGAGTTTAACCAAATATATCTTTAAAATTGAGTTAATCTTTTCTGGAAAAGAGTTATATTAGGAAGAAAACCTGCTAAAACTTTTGTCTGCTAGTCAGCATTTACTTAGGTCCCTTGTGAGTAGATCTGTGATGGAGAAATAGAAGTACTAGAAACCCTGCCTCATTCTTGTCTTAGCAAAAACCTAATATATCCCAACAGGGATCCAAAACCTATGTGGACACAAAATCCTAAAGCTGTAGGGGGCAGACTTCTGGACTTTAAAGTTAATTCATTGTAGAAAAATTAAAACTCTGACTTAGGAAATAAGTGGTCAATACCCTAAAGATTCATGACAGAGTTAAATAAAACTATTTGTAACTTTTCAGTGATTAATTCAAATTTCATATTTTAAGGTAGGATATTGTATTTAACATATAAGTCAATAGTCACCACAAATGACAGTTCCTAAGCCTAAATAGTATTAATACCTTTCATTTTAAATTGTGTTAAGTGTCCTTTTTCCTTGGTTTATCTGGAACATTTGGCAAAAGTCTTTGTTATGGTAGGAAATTATTTAACTACTTTTTCAGTACTTGTTGGCAAAAATCAAACCACGAGAGTTCCCTGTCTTTATCTCCCTTTGAGTCATTTCCTCCAAACCTCTCCTTTAAAACTTGTTTCAGTCTCTATTTAATTAGTTTCCTCTGTTTACTAATTGAGTGCTTCTGCTGAAATTTAAAAATGTATCTTTTTGTCTTTTTTCCATTTTATCTATATGAAAATTGCTATATCTGATTTTGTGATCTTGTTTCTGTTACTTCGATTACTATTAGATTGGTGATTTTTTGCAGTCTAGTTAGTGATTTTGTTTGTGTGTGTGGCTAAAAGTGGAGGAAATAACCTTTGTGTTGGGAATAGAAATTTTAGGCAGATCACCAGATTATTTTAAAATTATTTTCAAAACAATTTTAGGAAATTTATCTCTGTACAATTGAACTAAATTCAGGTATTGTATCTGAAAATAGTAAAGCAACTATGGCAGTTTCTTACTAGATAAATTCTCCCTTGTCTTGTGGAATGAAAAATTAAATTTATCTAGATAGATTTGTTTGCTTTCTTTTGACCACTTAGAGTTGTATAAATTGCCCCTATTTCCTTTTTTGCTTTGCACAGGAGGTAGTTATGACAGGGGGTAGTATTATGTGGCAGCTACAATTATAGATACAGGCTGCCTAGCGTATCAGGAAACTAAATTTTGCACATAAGTACTACTGTTATATAAGTTCAAGTAGGTGATAATGTGATTTAAAATATATGAATATATTTAGAAGCAGTAATGAATTATTAGCAGCTTTCTAATAATCGTTTTCTGCACTTTCAGAGAATACTAACAAGTTAAACCTGTTGTCAAGTAGAACTGTTAGAAAAAGGTCTTCATTGTTTAGAAGTTTAGGATCCCTTTATATTAGATCCCAAGTACAAATCCTAAGAGCCAGGTGACTTCGGGAAAATTATTTAACATTTCTGAGACTCAGTTTTATTACCTGTAAAATGGAATAATATTTACCAATCAGAAGTGTTGTTTTGAGAATAAAATTAAATAATGTACTGAATTAGTCTCCGATGGTTAAGACCCAAGGGTTTTAATTTTTAACCAGTTCCCCTGATGATTATTGGTGTAGTACAGGTTCTCAAATTCTAGCATACATCAGAATCACCTGGAGGGCTTGTTAAACCACATTGCTGGGGGCTTCTCTGGTGGCGCAGTGGTTGAGAGTTCGCCTGCCAATGCAGGGGACACGGACGGGTTTGTACCCTGGTCCGGGAAGATCCCACATGCCGCGGAGCAGAGGCCGCAGCAGTGAGGGGCCCGTGTACCGCAAAAACAACAACAACAACAAAGAACACATTGCTGGGTGCCAACCCCAGAGTTTCTGTTTCAGTGGGTCTAGAGTGGGGTCCAACAATTTATATTTCTAACAAGTTCCTAGGTGATGCTAATGCTCCTGGAGACTATACTTTGAGGACCATTTGTGTAGTGTATGTGATGCCACTTTGACTAGCCTAATAAAAGTAAGAAAAGTGACAGTGGTAATATTTGTTGAGCCCTCATTACGTACCAGGCACTGTTATATGTGCTTGACATTTATTATGTCATTTAATCTGATCTGATCCTGTGAAATGGATATTATTACCCCCATTTTACCGAGAATGAAAGTGAATTATAGAGAGATTCAGTAATGTGCCCAAAGTTGCCCAGCTGATAGGTAATAGAGCTATTCAAACCCAGAGAGTCTAGTTCCAGGGCTCATTCTCTATAAACATTATTCAGATAAAGGATATAACCTGATGATTGTGCAGCCCTTTCTTAAAAAGGATTTTTCTTAATTTAAAAGAAATATATTTATCGTTTATTCTTATGTGAGCCTCACATCAAAGGCTGGAGGACCAGGCTTACCTGTGCCCCTGATTGCAAGGAAAGCCCATGTAGGCATGTGCCAGCCAGGTGCACCACAGTCTTGTGTTCAACTAGGCTTGATCTTCAAATGTCTTTTTTTATTGATTGAGTTTTTTAGATGTCTTTTAATATTTAAATGAAATACTGCTTATTGAATTTGTCTCTCATGAAGTTCTTATATAAAACACGAGATTATAATTTTTCCCCCTTCTTCACAGAGTCATCTGAGCCATTATGGCAGTCAAGTGGACTGGTGGACATTTTTCTCCTGTTCTCTGCCTGAATGCAAGTCAAGAAGGGCTAGTGGCTTCTGGAGCAGAAGGTGGAGATCTCATGGTTTGGGGTGAAGATGGGACTCCATTAGGACACACACGCTTCCAAGGGGCAGACGATGTTACCAGTGTCTTATTTGCTCCCTCCTGCCCCACCAAGCTCTATGCCTCACATGGAGAAACCATTAGCATACTGGATGTCAGGTCTCTCAAAGGATCCTTGGACGATTTTCATGCGAATGAAGAAGAAATCAACTGTGTTTCACTGAATGAAACTGAAAACCTTCTGGCTTCTGCTGATGACTCCGGAACAATCAAAATCCTAGACTTGGAAAATAAGAAAGTTAGCAGATCACTGAAGAGACATTCCAATATCTGTTCTTCCGTAGCTTTTCGGCCTCAAAGACCTCAGAGCCTGGTGTCATGTGGACTGGATATGCAGGTGATGTCTTGCAGAGAATACTTGGGTAATTTCTAGATGGGATTTGGTAACAGAATCAAATTATTAATTGGGCTAAATATATCTTTCCATTTTCTATTCTCTACTAGCATGTCTTATGTATTTATGAACCATAAGCTTTACTTCTACTGCATGTTTAATGCTAACTTGACAAAGTCTAGTAGATTTTATTCACAGAGTAATTATTAATCTTTTACTCTTCCTTTCTCTATGCTTTAAGACATTCCTAAAACATGAGAATTCAAATATTTGATTCTAAACATCTGTTTAAACAAAGTCATGCTAAAGTCAGAGTTTATCACCCACTCTCTACAAAGTCTGTTGTTTAAAAAAAAAAAAGTTGTAGGGCCTGGATATATTACTGTTTTTACTCTAAAAATCACTGGAGTGAGAATAGTCATGGCTTCTCTTTGGTGAGCATTTACTACTTCCCACTGCTTTATTGTTTAGGGGCTGCCCCAGCACTGTTCTAGGCATTTAATCTACATTCCCAACTATATATTAGTATCTTCTAAGACTTGTGGCCACTTCTTGGCCAGTGGTCTTTACCATTCCCACCTCTACCCTCCACACCTCCTTATAATTTAGAAATAATGAGGCTAATTTTAGTTGTTGTCGCTATGACTGCCAGCCCCTCCCCCCAAACTACTGGCATTTAGTAGGAAGAATTGGTAGTTGTCCTGCAGTGCTGGGGCAGCCCCTAAACAATAAAGAATTGTCCAACCAAAAATTTGTAGTGCCTCTGTTGAGAATCATTTTATACGTACAAAGCATAGTGACCCCATAGCCTCTAAACTCCTTTTCTACTCCTAGGTCTTGTCCAAAACTTTTATAAACCTCCTACATTTTCTATCCTAGTGGAGATAATCTGCTTACTTGGTTGGGCAGAAAGACCTACACAACCAGTCAGATATCTGTTTTAAGTAGGCAGATTGTACAGTGTCTCTTTGACTAGTCATTCTTTCATCCTTAAGCTATACCAGTTTTCAATCACTGGTTCATTAATTAACTACTAGGCATGGCAATAAACAATTAGGTGTGCAGCAGTCACAGATTAGATAAGAAGCAGGCACCCAGAATTTACCATTTTACCTCCAGTTCTAGATGAGAATGTTTAGTGGCAGGCAGCTGCTAGAGAACAGTATAGGAAATAAATGTTTTGTGAGAAGAAGGCTTAGGTAATTGCTTTTTTTTTCCTTTTTTTTTGGTAATTGCATTTTGATTTGACTTTCAAGAATTGCTAAAAATACATTGTAGATTAACTTCTGCATTGGCTTATGATGTAACAACAGTGGCTAAGATAATACAGCCACGCTTTTAAAAAATTACTTCTTTAACTGACGTTGAAACTATAATTTCTTCCAATTTATCAGTATTTCTTAAAACTTGGTTATCTGGTATTTTTCTAAACCTTAAGAATAGCTAGTCTATGGGGGAGTCCAAGAATGTAGGCATAATAGTGGAAGGGAGTTCTTATCAGATTAATGATGAGTTATTTCTCTCTGAACAAGTGTGTTTTATCTCAAGGCAGGAATTGAATTATTGCCACATATAATAGATATGTTCAACACACCTTTGTTATTATACAAATTATAAAAATTATACCCTTTGATTTAGATAGGTTTAAATAGGCTTCCTTGGTGGTACAGTGGTTAAGAATCTGCCTGCCAATGCAGGGGACATGGGTTTGAGCCCTGGTCCAGGAAGATCCCACATGCCGTGGAACAACTAAGCGCATGTGCCACAACTGCTGAGCCTGCGCTCTAGAGCCCAAGAGCCATGACTACTGAGCCCACGTGCCTAGACCCTGTGCTCTGCAAGCAGAGAAGCCACTGCAATTAGAAGCCCGCGCACCGCAACAAAGAGCAGCCCCTGCTCACTGCAACTAGAGAAAGCCCATGTGCAGCAACAAAGACCCAATGCAGCTGTAAATAAATAAATAAAATTTTAAAAATAAATAAAAAATAAAATTAAATAGGCAATGCTTACTCAAAAAGGCAGGGACCTTAAGAATGAAGTATGATTTATTAAGACACTTGAGACTGCTTAATCTTTTATTAAATAGGCCCAAAATAATATTCATAATATATGTATACAGTATAAAAAATAACATTAAACAAATACATGTGTACCACCACTCAAATATAGATTTTTCTTATAAGGACCTTTGAAAATTTGAGGCCATCATGAATTTCTGTAGCATACACAATGGTTTTCTTTCTCTCTCATTTCCACATTTGAAAATAAATGGTTCAAAGGTTTGTTCTTTCTGGAGTTTGAAAGATCTGTAGTACAGAACTTAAGGACTGGGACAGTAGAGGAGCCGTTTTTTTTCCCCTCCTTGAAAATGAATCTTTTATGTGGAAAGAAATGTTTCTGTAGGAGAAATTTTTGAGCAGGGTCACTTTGATATGCTTGCATTCACTTCTGAACATTTGCCAGTTGTCCACTTTCTTTCCCTTTGACGTTTTATTGGACCTTAAGCCCTGAACTCTTGTATACTTTTCCTTCAAATCAATTTTCTTTAATATTCTTTTCCTTTAATACCTTACCTCTCTTGCTTAGGGTGATACTGCTTGATCAGGTGGTTGAGAAATTGTGAGATACCTTGGACTCTTGGGCAGTTAGGAAGAGTAAAGAAGTACAAAGGGAATGTCCAGGCAGGAACAATCTGGGAATCTTCAACACTTGGAAATGACTGCTGGGTTGGTAGAATTTGAAATGGCTATTAACACGTTTAGATGATTTAAGTAAATACAAAAATGTTTAAGCTGCTGAAAACACTTTGGGTGTAGTTCATGTTTGGATGTCTTAGGGCAGAAAATATAATCCAGGCATTATGGGGCTATGTGAAAAAGAACTTGGGGATGCCTGCCATACAGTTAAGCTAGTACATTTTGGAATGTCCATTTTCCTTGTGTTCAGGTTTTTTATGGAGATTGTTGCCATGTCAAGTTTTTTTTTTTTTTTTTTTTTGGCTGCGTTGGGGCTTCGTTGCTGCACACGGGCTTTCCCTAGTTGCAGTGAGTAGGGGCTACTGTTGGTTGCAGTGCGCAGGCTTCTCACTGCGGTGGCTTCTCTTGTTGCGGAGCACGGGCTCTAGGCGCGCGGGCTACAGTAGTCGTGGCGCGCAGACTCTAGAGTGCAGGCTCAGTAGTTGTGGTGCACGGGCTTAGTTGTTCGCGGCATGTGGGATCTTCCCGGAACAGGGATCAAACCCGCGTCCCCTGCATTGGCAGGTGGATTCTTAACCACTGTGCCACTAGGGAATTCCCTCAAGTTTTATTACTCATTCATTTTTGTTATATTTTCTGATTTTTAAAATTTTACTTTATTTCAATTTATTAGTATTTTGGCTTCACCCATATGTATAACAATTGCTGGCCTCTTGGTATAATGTTATAAATCCAATCCAAAGAGATTTTCAGTGTTTTCCCTAGTATAAGCAGAATATAAGTGTTACTAGATGTTGCTTCTTTTGAAAGTAGGCCGAGTTAAAGGAAGTTACCTTGAATAGAAAACCAAATCCTTAATATAATCAACAGTAGTAATCTTGTCAGTTCAGATCTGTGCTTTTGACTAAAGAAGGTCGTGCTTATCCTAGTGTCCATTTTAAATTTGTGAGTCATAATTCAGGGATAGTACTAGGGGGTAAAATACAGCTGTCTATTCTCTCTGAAAGTATGAAGAATATTTTCTTTTTCAAATTGGTTGCTACGGGAATAAAATTGCTAGATAATAGAGTAAAATCAGTTCACAGAGTTTATTGTTTTGTTTTAAACAGTTTTTAGTTAGCATTTAATTTAAATTCGCTTAGTAGGTCCAAGATCATGGTAGGGAACAAGAACAAAAAGCTAAGTATACCAGGATGTCAAATTAGTCAACAGACTTGTTTAGAATTTCTGCTCTTTTCTCCAGGTACTATGCTAGGCATTAGCAAAGATGAATTAAATCTCAAGAAACTGAAAAGCTAGTAGTATATGTCAATTAATAGAACAGGAGTTAAATATGGGAAAGAGAGAAGGGGGCTGGAATAGTTAGGAAAGCCTTCCTGGAGGGACACAATTTGAGCTATGCCCCTAGGATGAGTAATTTGGGTAATGTGAAAGGAAAGGAAAAGCATTCCAGATAAAAATGATTTCAGTGGTATTCTAGTTTAGTTTATTTAGTTGATAGGTATTTTTACTTTAACAAGCATAGACGAAAATTAATAAATTTCATAATCTTCAATTTTACCTGCAGAGATCAGGGTAGAATGACTCAAAGAAACTGGCATCTGCTTAAGAATTTGGATTACACTTTAATGGGTTTGTTAATTGAAAGTTACTCAGGATCTTGTTTTCTAAATTCTATCTTCCTTACTGCCCATTGGCATTCTAGTTTTGGCACCAGGGTTGCATCCCACTGGCATGTCGTGGTGCCATCTGAATTTTTTTTTTTTTAATATTGCTGGAAATGTATCCTACTAATCATTCTCAGACTACTTTGATGATTTTGTTAGAAGTGGAATAAGCATGTTAGTTAAACAAACTGACTAGAACCATAACTATGTAACTTCCTCTTATTTAAAGGTGATGCTGTGGAACCTTCAGAAAGCCCGGCCACTCTGGATTACAAATTTGCAGGAGGATGAAACAGAAGAAATGGAAGACCCACAATCACCTGGTCAGCTTTTAAACCCTGCCCTAGCCCACTCTGTGTCTGTGGCATCATGTGGCAATATTTTTAGTTGTGGTGCAGAAGATGGTAAGATTCGAATCTTTAGGGTGATGGGAGTCAAGTGTGAACAGGAACTGGGATTTAAGGGCCACACCTTAGGGGTATCCCATGTCTGCTTTCTGCCAGAATCTTATTTGCTGCTTACTGGAGGGAATGATGGAAAGATAATGTTGTGGGATATAGGCAGTGAAGTTGAGAAAAAACAGAAGAGTCCTATAAAACATACCCATAAGAAGAAAACCAAAAGGGCAGCTTATACCAAGCAGAGTGGAAACACTCATGCTTCAGTAGCAGGTGAAGACGAACGTGGCAAAATTTTACCAAAGTTAAGTATTGAACATGGAGAAAAAGTGAACTGGCTCTTGAGTACAAAAATAAAGGGATACCAGAATATATTGGTAGCTGATCAAACTAATTGTATATCTGTATATCCTTTAAAAGAATTTTAAATCCAATAAAACACTTGAAAAACTGCAGAACTTTTTATGGGTTAAAAAAAATCCTGCTTCTTTGTTTGAACCATTTGTCATATGTGGAAATAATACCATTCCATCATATAAATTTTAAAACATTTGAGCAAAAGATAATTGGGTAACATTTCTTATAGTAAATGACATATTAAAATTTGGAGAATGAGAACTAATATTCACTGAGTACTGATTGTGTACCAGCCATTTTACGTGTTTCCTTTCTTATTCCAAATCAGTGAAGTGGGTTACTTTGTTCATTTTTTGCCACAGGAATCAAGACTCAGAGATGTTAAGTAACTTGAAGATCCAAGAAAATTGCAGGCACGATTACTTACCTGCAAAGCATCTTCATTGTCTTGTCAAGCCTCCTGCCATAGGGAAGCCCACATCCTGATACAAATATGGTCACCACATTAGTTATAACATTAGTAATTTCTGATCCTAGGATGTCATGAGGAACTTTACCAAGTTGAAAGAGGAAACCTGTTCTTGCTTGTTCTGTGTAAAGCCCAGAAGGCTTGGCTGACAATCACCTTTTGCCATTTCTAAGAAAAGTGTTCCAGGTCAAATCAGTTTAGGATATTACGAAGCAATCCAGGCTGTGATGCTGATGGGACCAAGAATAAGCTGAAGTTATGAATAAGCAGAAACTCTGACTAAGCAGAAGATGTAAGGTAGATAGAAGAGGTAGAGAAGAGAAGCCAAGACTGTGTAGAGAGTAAGTTTTCTTTTCATCATGCTCTGGATTGCTGATTTCTCTGCATGTTCTTTCAGCTTCTGCTTAAATTGCCTACTCTTATATTCAGAGGTTTAAAGAGAGATTCTAATTGTTGGTTACCATTATCCTTGTTTGTGTAGAACTCTTTGATAAGCTCAATTTTAGTCAGAATGTTTGCTGCAGATGACAGAAACCAACTTCAAATTGACTTAAGGGAATAAAAAGGAATTTATTGGCTCATGTAACTGAGAAGTCCAAGGATAATCAGGCTTGTACTGCTGAGGTAGCTAAGCTGAAAGGATGTGAGTCTTATAGGTGGCTCACCTGTGAAAAGTCTTTCCTAGGGATGGAATGAGAGAATCCTCACAGTAATGTTGAGCCTGGAACCAGCCATGCCTGAAACAAGTTATTTCTGGAGCCTTTTTTTTTTTTAACTTGTGACTAAAAGGGTCCTGACCAATTAAGTGGGTGGTCAGTAAATATTGTTTAGTGATCTCACTTAAAATTTAAAGCAAGGAGAATACCATCTTGGCCCTAAAAAATTCATTGACAAGGACCTTGGCCTGCGTATTGACAGAAACAAGTTTCTAATCCCAGCAATGGGCAAAGTTCTTGGCCATTCTGGGCCTTGATTTCCATTCCTGAAAGCGAAGGGTTGAATTAGACATCCCCTAAGGTCATTTCCATGCCACTGTTTTATGAAATGAAAACATCATCATAATACTGTGTTTATCCAGTGATTCTAATATTTATGAAAATGTCAGTAAAGACTAATTATCATGGGCAATCACTGGAGATTTAGAGGAATCTTTTGAAAAATTACCCAAGTACAGCATCATTTTAGCTCTTGAGCCTGAATAATGTTATGGGAACAGGGTAAGAAGTATTTAAACCAGGACTGATTTTTTTTTTTATTGAAGTATAGTTGATTTTCAGTGTTGTGCCAGTCTCTGCTGTACAGCAAAGTGACTCAGTTATACACATACATCCATTCTTTTTTTATATTCTTTTCCATTATGGTTTATCACAGGATACTGAGTATAGTTTCCTGTGCTACACAGTAGGACCTTATTGTTTATCCATGCTAAATGTAATAGTTTGCAACCCTAAACTCCCAGTCCATCCTCTCCCTCCCCCTAACCAGGATTGAAACATTAGTTTTAAACTTCTTTTTGTTGCTAATAACAGATACCCACTCAGACTGCCTAAGCAAAAAGGGAAATTTACTATGGGGAGTGGAGGAGCAGAGTTCTCTCAACCCAGAACAGAAATGTCGCTTGGCTCTACGTTTCTAACCAGGGAAGCCATCAAGAACCAAAGCAGCTGCCCTTTCTGTCTCTCTGAGTTCCTGTGGTCACTTGTCTCTGCTTCTTTCTGCATAGTGGCTTTCACCTGACAAAAGATGGCCTTCCAGAGCTACATCAGCAACCCTTTTCAATTCCAAAAACTGAGTAGTGTCTAAGTTCCAAGGCCCTGAAGAGAATCTGATTGGTCTAACTTCGTCAAGTGCCTAGCTCTGATCCAGTCAGCTCTGATCAGGGGGGTGTTGTCATTTAGTATCAACATTGCCAACGGGGCCCCCATAGGTGGGGAGGTAGTTCTCAGGGAAGGGGAGTATGGGCTGAACTAATAGTCCCTGAAGATCTACAACCAACAATTGAGATTTTGGCAGATTTACAGAGTGAAAATTATATGCAAAATGAACCCTTCTTGGGTCAGCCATTTTACTACAGTTTGACTTTCAATTTTCAAACAATAGGATACACCCAGATTACTTTAGTTAATGAGAGTTTGAAGAATGGTAAAGTAAGCAAAATAAAGTGCCTCAGCCTGGGCTTACAGAGAATCAGGGTACCATTTTGGTTTTGGGGATTTTGGGGGTTTTTTTTGTTTGTTTTTTACCATACCATGCAGCATGTAGGATCTTAGTTCCCTGACCAGGGACTGAACCTGCACCTCCTGCAGTGGAAGCACAGAGTCTTCACCAGTGGACTGCCAGGGAAGTCCCAGGATACTATTTTGAATATTCTCAGCTTGATTAGTCAGCTGGCCCCTCAGATAACTGATTAAGAACTTAAGTGGCCTTGCTTTAGAAGTGGGCATCCAATGTCCCCAATCTATAGAAGGCTGAAAATGTGCCCCAAAGATATCAGGTTCTAATCCCTGGAACCTGTAAATGTTACTTTATTTGGTAAAAGGATCTTTGTAGATATGTTACAAATAGTAAAGGATTATGTTAAAGGAACATAATTGTATACTTACCTTTATACTTTATTAGAGTGTAAGATGCTTGGGGGCAAGGATCTGCCTTTTTGAGTTTCAGAGCTTGTGGTTTGGCCTGACCTGAACCACCCAGCTCACACAAAAAATCATTAAATATTAAATGAATCAAGGGAGGTCCAGAAGGTGAAAATGTTAAGAGATGTGGATAGAATAAAATAACAATAAAGGTCAACCTGAAGGGAGCTAGTAGCAGGGTTGCCTGGCAACCAGATTGAACCCTTTGTTATGCTTCAGGTTATTTTTAACACCAGCTATCAGGGCTACACATGGCTCTCCCAACCAGTGCTCAATTCACAAACACCCAGACATGCTCATCATTTCACATTTGATGTTCTCTCCAAATTACAATCAGTTTGTGGTCCAGGATAGACAATCCTGAGGCTGATGCAGTGCCCACCCAGTTGCTTCTCCCTTCCAAGAGCAGAAATACCTTCAGGATTAATCAATCACCCTCTGGCAGAATTATGTATAATCCTGATGCCTTAACCTATGAATAGCTCTCCCATGACCTCAGTTTTCCTATTTACAAGCAAAGAATTAATGAAAAACAGTACTATACTGCACATGTGCTGTGTGTGTGTGTTTGGTTTTCTGAACTATTTGAAAGTGAGATACCATGACACTTGACCTCAAAATACATCAGCATGCATCTCCTAAAAAGGATACTTTTATATATAACCATAGTACTGATCTCATACCCAAGAAACTTAGCAATAATTCACATTCTTGCCCTTAGCCAGACAACTGTGACTAATATCATCCTTACTGCACTAAAGTCTGGTGGTGAGAGAGGGTGGCAGCCAGAACTGCAGAAGATGGGTCCCTCAGCCATGGGCAGGGCTTATGGAAATGAGAGGAAACAAGAAGGACCTTGTGGATTAGTCTGGGGTCCGAACAGAGGTAGGTGTCCCTTGTAGCCAACCCTCTTTCCGTGGCACATCCCCAGTGGGGAACACTGCCCCTTACTCTGGGCTGAGGTTCATTTTAGAGACTAAGTTGTCAGGCAAAAGGGACATTGTTGAAGAGTGATGACATGAGCCTCAACTGGAGTGAATAAAATACCCTATCACCACCACCACCTGGGCCATACTCCAACTAGAGGAACAGGATTTAATCTAGGCCCAGTAGGGGACATGGGAGAAATTCAGAACAACTCTCATATACCTGGAGAGAGCCCCTGCTATACCCTCGTATCCTTGGTGGAGGAAAGGACTGGGCTGGGGTTTAATAGAGCCTCCATCAGGTCTTCTCTATAGCCATAAAAAACGCTTGAGGAGAGTGACCCAAAGCTCGCTTGAGCATGATTTTCCTATAATCATTCTAGGAAATGAATGAAGAAGCATCCAGAGCATGCAGTGATCAAGGATCAATAAAAACAATTCTTATAGGGACTTCCCTGGTGGCACAGTGGTTAAGAATCTGCCTGCCAATTCAGGGCACACAGGTTCAATCCCTCGTACGGGAAGATCCCACATGCTGCAGAGCAATTAAGTCCATGCGCCACAACTACTGAGCCTGCACTCTAGAGCCCAAGAGCCACAACTACTGAGCCCATGCACAACTACTGAGCCCACGTGCTGCAACTACTGAAGCCCATGTTCTCTGGGGTATGTGTGCCGCAACTACTGAGCCCACATGCCACAACTACTGAAGCCCACGCCCCGCAACAAGAGAAGCCACCGCAATGAGAAGCCCGCGCAATGCAACAAAGAGTAGCCCCCGCTTGCCACAACTAGAGAGCCCCCGTGCAGCAACAAAGACCCAACATACCCAAAAGGCAAAAACCAAAAAAACCCCAATTCTTACTGACTTATAAATGTTGACACAACAGGTCACAAATAGGTAGCAACCTGAAAATTGAATGCATTTTTCTGTTATGAACAAGACGGTTAAACATGTTACAAACCGATGTGTGGCTAGATAAATGCAAATGTTAATATTTTATTAAAAATTAAGATATAAAAGACTCAACTAAAAGACTGTTGATTCTAATCAATAAAATCAGTAAACTTGAAGTGTATAAAATGAATACACAGAAATGAGTTGCTTTTCTGTACACCAACAGTGAAACATCTGAAAAAGGAATAAAACTATCCCATTCACAATAGGATCAAAACAATAAAATGGGGCTTCCCTGGTGGCGCAGTGGTTGAGAGTCCGCC